CCAAGGCACTGGGGGTGGGGACAGTGTCCTGGAGGGATGGGACAGGACTGGAAGAACAGGCTGGGTGGGCAGGACAGTGGGCGACATGGAAGGAGGGGTCCTGAAACTGACACGTCCCCCAGCAGTGGCAGCCCTTTGCCAGAGCGAGAAGTCAGTCGAACGGCCTAGTTTCACCTCTGGTTCATCAGGCTTGCCGGGCTTAGACCCCACAGAGGGGGCCTGGGTTTGTGGGGGGACAGGAAGAGACCCGCGGCCCGTCCTTACGGTTGTGGGAGTACAGCATGTTCACTGATGAGATGCAACAGCCCCAGAGTCAAAGATGTCCCTAGTTCCCCTTCCCACCGGGCAGCTCGTAGTGCGTTTCCTCCCCCACTGACTCCCGAAATACTAGGATTGTGGGCCCCCCTTTGAAACTTGAGAGAGGTAAGTTTAGGACAGATTAGAGGAAGTCCTGCTTCTCACAATGACTCAGGAGCTCAGGGGACTGGTTACCCCATGAGGTGGTCCAGGCTGGGAATGTCACGGGATCCCAACGGGATCTGGGTAAAAAGACAAATTGGAGCCCTTACTGGCTCCTGAGAGGAGACCTGGGATCTGTGTGACCTTTATGTTGACGTCAGAGAGGAAACCAGTCCCCTGAGGCTCCTGCTGGCAGTGGACTCCGGAACCTTCCCAACCTAGCCCCATGGGCCTCATACCCCCGGGCGCCAGAGCTGGAGGGCCCCGAAACTGCTCACTCAGTCTTCTCCTTTTACACAGGACACTCGCCTTTCGCCCCCCTGCCTGAAACCCCACAGTGGCGCCGGCGCCTTCACAACAAAGTCTCACTGGGCCGCCTGGCCCCTTCTCTCCCCGCTGCCCCCCACCACTTTGTGCCCAGCTGCTGCTCGGCCCTCCTTGGGCTCTCTCGCTGCCAGGCCTTTGCCCCTGCTCTGCCCTTAGCCGGCGGGTCCCCCCACATAACCTCATCCAGGGAAGCCCTCCCTGGGTCCCAGCCGTACGCCCACCGAATGCCTCTACCAAGTGCTTGCGGGTCTTCCGGGAAAAGCCTTATGCTGCTGTGTCTTCATGTCCTGTTTGCATGGCTGTCTCCCCTCTAGACAGTCATTCTGTGCCCTTCCCAGCACTTGGCATGGAGAAGATTCTCGACACGCCATCATTTAAGGTATCAGGCCCAGAGAACAGAATTGCCTTGCACAGAATCACAAAGCATCCTTTCATCCGTGTGTGCCTTCGTGCATTCCACTCATGCTGTTGAGCACTCACTCCATGCCAGGTCTTTGCTAGGTGCTGGGGACCCAAGGGTGAACAAGCCATGGCACCTGCCTGACCTTACGGAACTTAACAGTTTCGTGAGGAAGGCAATTTCCATCAATTGCACTAGCAAATGTAAAATTGCAACGAGGACCAGCCCTACCAGAGGGATATACAGGGGTTTTCTTGAAAAACTGGAAAAATCCTTAATGGTCAGAGAGGTCTAAGAAGGCTCCCTCGAGGCAGTGATCCTTAAGGAGTAGAACTGACCGGGCAAAGAGGAACAGCTTATGCAAGGGCCCTGGGGTGAGAAGGAATATGGCAGGAATGAGGAACGGAAGGAAGAGCAGGGTGGCCAGAGCAGGGAGTTTGGGAGACAGAGAGGTATGAGACAGGTTTGGAAGGCCAGCGGTCGTCAGAGTACACGGGGCTCTGTGGACTAGGTCAAGGTTTTGGTCTTTATCTTAAGAGCAACAGGGAGCAATGACGTGTAGTGAGCAGAACTGTGACCCGATCAGGCTGGTGTGAAAAGCTCCCTGGCTTCTGTGCAGAACAGAGGCAAGAAGCCAGGTGTCCTTGTACCCAGTCCTCACGTGATGTGCATATTCTGAGGCCTCCCCCTGCCCCCAGGTCACTGCATCTCTAAGGGTGCATCCCACCCCCCCATCCCCCGTCCCCACCCCCACAGCATTCATCTGTCCAGGCTCACAAGGCACTAACATTGTCCCCATCCCAAACACTGGCTTTCTATGATGCCATAGTCTTCTCTACACCCTTGTTTCCAGCAGTCAGGACAGGCTGTGGGTGCCCAGAGGCTGACCCCCAGGTGCTGCCACAGGCCAGTGTCAGTGGCAGCACCCACTGGGTGAGCACTGCTTCACTCTGGTTTGGTCCTCTGGGGAGCAGGGATCCCAGCCTCCTGCCACACCTGTTGGGCTTGACTGCATGAGACACGGGCCCAGCAGTGGCCCTCACATGCTTCAGGTCTACAATTGTGGATGTTGGTATCAGGACCAAGCATGGGGACATCTTCCCTGTTGCTTGGGCCACAGAAATGCAGTGAGAGTAAACTGTTTATGTTCTTGGGCTGCAGAGCCTGTGGCCAAAAGCCTCTTGCAAAAAAGCTGTGCTTTTTGGGATGTCAGTGTGGGAGGATGTGGGATCTCCCTCCAGTAACCACTATCAGAGCAGGAAGGGGGCCCAGGGAGGGCCATAGTCTCACATCCTTCGGCCACACAACACAAAGTGTCCGAGGGCTGCAGAGGTCACCAGCCCACAGTGGAGCTGGGGTGATGATGCTGACTTTTCCCCACTGCACCCGCAATCTAGGAATGAGGCAAGGAGTTGGAGTTACAGCACGGGGGTTGCCCATGTCTGGATGTCAGGGCCTGTGAGTCACCCCTTTATCATTCATCAGATGCAGGCTCTTGGACAAATCACCTAACCTCTTGGGTCTTCCTTCATCTACATACACTCCCATGTCCATTATGACCACCACTGGCTACATAGGAGTCTATATTTAAGTTCATTCAAATTAAATAAAATTTAAAATTTAGTTCCTGGGTCACAACAGCCATATCTCAGGTACTTGCGTGGAAATGGTATTGGACTAGCACAGGTGTAGAACATTCTGTTACTGCAGAATGTTCTATTGGACAGCTTTGATCTGGAAAGACAATGAGAAAGAAGGCTCACTCTGCCGATCGGGACATGATTCCATGAGGCAATGGACACACAGCCAGCTGCGTGGCTCCGGGCATATAGTAAATGCTCAACTAATATTTACTGGGATGATGAGATTGGTGGCTGTGCATTCACTTCCAAACACACTCTGTGTGTCCTGCTGCTTCCACCGGGAGAGGTGCCTCCAATGAATAAAAACGTGTAGGAGCTAGGCGTCGGTAAACCCGGACTGCTTTGTCAGGAAAAATGTGATCATCTACTCTGGGCCAGGCAGTGTGGTAGGTCTGTGATGGATCCCAAACTTAAACAAGACACATGCTCATCCTCCAGGAGAGATGCCCACAAGGACACAGTGGCAATGCCCTGTGAAGGAAGAGGAGAACATCTTGCCTCAAGATCGGCCCCATGGCAAAGACAAGGCGGTCTGAACCTTGTGCTTTGGTCCTCATCTGTAAAATAGGGAAACAATAGTAGCCACTCTATTGGCTTGTTGCTCAGATTGAGCGAGTTAATTCATGTGGCGGGCTTGGCACGGTAGCAGACACAGAGGGAACGCTATAGAAGGGTCAGCTGTCAACGTTGGCTTGATGACAACAGAGATTGTCGTTTTTGTCTTGGAGAAGAGAAGTGTTGGCCGACCTACCTGATTATTTGAGCAGGACTTAAAGGTTCTTACCTTAAAGGTGTTTAAGACCATAAAATACATATGTCAGGTGAATGCACACTGGAGAGACGAGTGCCCCACACTGTCAGTTACGGCCGTGCTGGGGAAGCAGGCGGATTCAGTCTCAGTTCCTGAGCGGGTGTGCTGGTTTTGTTCTGGAGGGCCTGGGTTCCATTTGGGGAATCCCAGGGGAGGTGACTTCATATGGGTTTTGAGAGATGAGTAGGAGTTTGTCAGAGAGGACTTCAAAGAGAACCATGTCACCTAATTAGTCGTTTGATTCTCTGTCCCTCAGTTTCTTTATTTGCAAAATATGTTTGGTTGGATGATGCCTAAGATCCCTTCCAGAATAGCATCTTCTGATTTGTTCGGTGGAAGGCTTGGCACTTCTCTGGAGGTCCTCTCCTGGATGGTGGCAGCCTGGGGCGAGCCACAGGCACTCTCCCACTTCCCATAACTTCCGTATCTGGCGGTATACAGGCATCAGGGAGGATGGAGAAGTCACAGGAGGGTCAGTGTGGGCCTGAGTCGCAAAGGAAGTGGCTGGTGCAGAAGGGGCCACTGGCCAGGTCTCTGGGGCTCTGGCGGTGCCTAAGCCACCAGGCATCTCCAGCCTCCAGCTCCTCTCACCTTTCCAACATTCAGAGCCCAGGACAGAGTCCCTGATTTCTGTACCCTCAGTCCCAGAGGATCTGTGGGAAATGGATGGCCCACCTCCCAGGCTCCTGAGACAGTCTGTTCTGTGTCATGGCCAAGCTCGCTCCTACTCACTCCTCAGGCCTGAGAGGACAAGTGCCGTGCAAGGGGAGCTGTCTCGAAGCCTCACCCTGATTAGTTTGGGTCCCCCTGGGTTCTGGGCCTGGCATAGTGTCTGGCATGTAGTAGGCCCTCAGCACATGATAAGTGCTTCAGCTGAGAGCAAGGCTCTTGGTCCTCAGCACACATGTCCCACCCAGCTGCAAGCAGGCCTTGAACATGAGCAAGAAATGAGGACACACATCTAACACCCCCAAGAGGCCACAAGCACTCTATAGAGATGGGGTAACAGGCCAGGGGGTGAGGAGCAGAGAAAGGGAGGAGAGAGAGCTCCAGGTCTCCTTGGGTGAGGCCCCACACCCCCTCAGGCCTCAGTTTCCCCATCTGTAGCATGCTCAGAGTGCCGCTGCGGCCTCGTCCTGTGCTGCCCTTCCCTGAATCTGGGCCAGGGCCAGGGCTCTGGGCTTCCCTTGGCCATGCCCTGCTGGGACCCATGTGCTCTTCAAACTTCACGCTCTGTGACATCTCTCTGCCACCTCCTCTCTTTTCAAAATGTTCCCCTCTCTTCCGGGACCCTGTTTCTCCTTGGTTTGCTCGTGCCTCCCTGCCTGGTCCCCTTTGCTACCTCCTCATCTCCTTGCAGTGTCGGGGCTCCTCAAGACCACCCTGGCCCCCTAAAGCCCTCCCCCCAGGGACCTCATTCACTCCAATGACTCCCGTTTCCGTGGGGGTCAGTGTTTCTCAAATGGCAAGTCACAGCCTATCAGCGTAAAATCAATTTAGGGGGTTGTGACCAGCACTTTTTTTTAATTAAATGAAATCAAATAAAGACAAGTGAAGTCGAAAATAATAAGTGCATCGCAGCTGGTAGGGGAACTACTGTTTCAGGAAGCTTTTTGCTTCTGCCGGTAACTGACCTTCTTATACTAGGTCAGTCGAAAATTTGGAAGCCACAAAGCCTTGGTCTCTGCTATCTCCCCAATCCACATCTTCACCCTGCTTTTCTTCCCTCCATCTGGATCTATATGTCCAGCTGCCTGCCCGCTGCCCGCCTCTCCTGGGATGGCCCCCCAGGGAGCTCGCAGTTACCAGGTCCAGAACCAAAGGCCCTTATTCCATCCTCCCCCTGACTCAGCCCATCCGTCTTGTATCTCCAGCCTCGGGGAGAAGCAGCCCTCTCCACCCACCTCCAAGACTAGAAACTTGAGAGTCTCTGCAGCTTCCTCCCTGGCCCTCCCCGCTCCATCCACCAGGCACCATGTCCCATGGACTCAGCCTCCTGGGCACTCCCCATGGCTGTCCGCTCCTCCCCACCTCCTGCCACCATCCTACTGCACCCTACCCTGGGCCCTTGTTGGGCTTCTTGCCATCACCTCCTAATCTCTGCCCCCTCCTCCACTCTGGTCCCCTCCACCCACTCAACTTTGCAGCTAGAAAGGTCTCTCCAAACTGCAAACCCAAGCAAGACCTCCCTTCCTAAAGATACCAAACTCCCCTGGGGTGCTTCCATGATTTCACTTTTGGCTCAGCCGGGTCTTGGCCCGTGTTTCAGCCACGCCACGCTCGGCCTTCTGCAACCCGCCAGCCTGCTTCACCCTTCTTCTTCCTCAGCCCGCCCTCCTTCCCCAGCAGGAATCCGCTCAGGCCACCAGATCTCGAAGGCTCTTCCCGCCTCCTGCAGCTGTCCCCACACCCCTGCCTGGCACCCTCCTTGTCCCCTACATTTCAGCCTTCTTCCAAATCGATGCCAACATCCACCTGCAGCAGAATCACCTGCTCTGCTTACAAATGCAGATGCCCAGGTCCCACACCAGACCTGCAGCCTCAGAATCCCCTAGAAATCTGCATTTGGGTATCTTCTGGGTCATCCTCCCCCTGTTGAACCCTGGAAAGCCCTATTATATACACATCTCATTTTCTCAAATTCCGTTTGCTCCTCTCTCTTTCCCCGGCACTGGACGGCGAGGTCCTGGGGCCAGGTCCCGAGGCAGGAACAGACACAGTGCCTTGCTCTCCATTTCCCAGTACCCGACACAAGCCCTGGCACAGCGCCGTGCCCACGCAGTTCTGAATGAACCATTCCTGGACGTGGCGTGGTTCCAGACCCCCCTTCCCGCCTGTGCCGGAAATAACCTTTTATGAAGGCTTTCCTGAGTGGTTTGAGATCTCTCTGGGAGGCCGGGCACGTTTCCCTTGGTTATAGGGGAACCTAGATGAAGAGTGGCCCAGCCCTTGGTGACAAGGGGCCCGGGGTGGCCCTGGGACAGGGTGCCTGGATGAGGAGGGGGTCTGGTCAGGCTGGAGGGGGACTGCGGGAAGGCGTACTGGTTCCCAATCAACAGGAAGGGCCTTCTTCCCTCCAGGATCACTTTTCAGCCCAGCTGCTTGGACATAACCTGAGCTGGGGTTGGGGCAGTGGGGGAGGGGCGACGACAGACAGACAGGCTGGAGGGAAGGCCAGCATCTGGACACATGGCCGAGGGCCCCGCACGCCTGCCTGGCTCCCACACCCCCCAGTGCCCGGGAGGCCAGTCCAGGGAGAAGGCTGGGCTGGTAAACACTTACTGCCCCGCCGGTCCCCTCCCCCAGCGCTCCCCTCCCCTCCTCTGCTCTCTCCAAGCCCAGGGACATTCAATCCTTCCTTTGATGGACAGCCAAGAAAAGACTTCTTCCACATCCTAAATTTGTTAGCACCAGCTAATCATCTTAACCTTCCTCCCTCTTGCACTCCCAACAGGCGCCTCCTTAAAGACACAGGGGGCTTTTTTGATTCTCAGCAGGGAGCCCTGGGGGGGGGGCAGGGGCGCCAGATTCCCACCCCCTGAGGTCCCTCAGCAGTGAGCAAGCTGTGCAGGAATTCTCTAGTTCCCCCTCCATTATTCTTAGCTGGGCCTTCCCAGCGGGAGCTGCCATCTGCCCTCCTCTATCCTCCATCCTCCATCCTCCATCCTCCATCCTCCATCCTCCATCGGCCATCCTCCATCCGCCATCCTCCATCCACCATCCTCCATCCACCATCCACCATCCTTCATCCTCCATCCGCCATCCACCATCCTCCATCCTCCAACCTCCATCCTCCATCCACCATCCTCCATCTGCCACCTACCATCTTCCAGCTGCCCCCTCCATCCTCCATCCTCCATCTGCCATCCTCCATCCTCCATCCTCCATCTACCCTCCTCCATCCTCCATCCACCATCTGACATTTACCATCCTCCATCCTCCATCCTCCATCTGCCCTCCTCCATCCTCCATCTACCCTCTTCCATCCTCCATCCTCCATCCTCCGTCCTCTGTCCGCCATCCACCATCCTCCATCCTCCATCACCATCCACCATCCGCCATCCGCCATCCATCATCCCTTAGGGGCTCCTCATCACGGTGCTGCTAGAAAAAAGAAGCTGCCCAAATCCCAGGTGGAGACAGGCGATGAGTTCTCACGCTCCAATACACTACCTTACCTTCTCCTATTTTTCTCCCTTTTCTATCCCCTGTCTTTCCTGGCCACTCCCCCTCCTCCCCACGACAGCCACCATCTCTTGCACGTTTCTCAGTGTGCCACGCACCATGCTGGGGTCTTGATTCCAACTTCTCTAGAACTCTGGGAAGTAGAAATTCTCATACCCATTTTGCAGATGACAAAACTAAGGCTCAGAGAAGTGAAGGAAGCTGTCTGTATCCAAGTCATCCCTTAAGAGCCAAGGCCAGTATTGGGACCCCAGCCTGACTCAAAAGCCATGCTGTCGTTGACCGCAACACCACCCTATCTCCCAGCACACGTCTGCACTGCTCACGCATGCACGTGGATTAGTGACCTACCGCAGTCTGCTCAGTGTAAACACCTGTGACCACCTCATCCAAGACCAGGCACAGAGTAGGTCCTCAACATAGGAGCGCCCCTCCCCCATCCCATCCCCGCATCTCTCTCTGTCTCTCTCTGCCCTTTCTCCTTCCCTCCCTGCTTACAACCCAGGTGAGAAGAGCCAGGACAGAAGAGAATGTGACCACAATCTCATTCTGGCCCTAAGCCTCTCAATAAATAATGAGTCTGTGTATAAACCACTGGCTCTGCAGCATCTCAGCCTGCAAGGACAGGCGTTTTCAGGGGAGGGATTAGGAGGGGGGGGGAAGGAGGGACAGGGGCCTTTGGCCAAGGTGGGGGAGGGGCTCTTACTCCCCTCTACCCTCCCCATCAGTGACCCACAAAAGCAATGTGGCAGGTCCCACAAAATCAGCTGAGAAACTTAAAGAACATTCGATAGGTTTTCCCCATCAAGGTCCTCAGTGGGTATGGGGCTGGCCCACTGGGAGAGAGGGAAGGGGAAGGGGGCCCTCTCCCTGCACAAGACTAGATCCTCACCCAGAGGCATGAGAGTGCACATGCTCCTGTGCTCAAAAGTCAGTGTGCGAGAATTCTTGCACAGCCCTTCTAGCCCCGTGGCTCCACCCTGCTTCCTCTGTGGCTTGTCTGGGTCCTACTGTGGGTTGTCTGGGCCCCTTGGAATCAGAGATGAGGGGCTCCAGGGGAGGAGGTGCCATGCTGCATGAGGGTCACCAATACTGACAAAGGGCGAGCAAACCGTGCCTGATATAAATTAAAATCACCCTAAGGCAAACACCCTAAACCCACACGATGGCTTTAGGGACCAGAAGCAACGCTGGAGTTTACTGAGCACTTATTAAGTGTGTGACCGTTGCCTCCATGGATCCTGCCCTCACAATAATCTTGCAAGCTGATTACTCTTAGTCTCATTGTATAAATAATGAGACGGGGGCTCAGAGAAATGAAAAGAAACTTGCTGGGGGCTCCAGAGCTACTGAGAGTCACTGAGATTAGAACCCAGGTCGGTTTGACTCCACAGCTCAGGTACTTCTGAGGAAATGAGGAAACCTCTGATCTGGTGTCCTTAAGGAATGTCCAAGTGTAAACAAAACTGCGCTCCCTGGAAGAGAGGTCGCCGGCAGGTGCACACGGACTCGTGTGCCTCTTAGACGGCGTGTGAGTCTCCCGTCCTCCCTGCCCCAGGCTTCTGGTGTGTCTTTCTGGAGAAACATGGGCAAGGATGGTTCAGTGTATGGGAAAGGGATCTCCATCCCCTAATGAAAACAGAACAAAGCACCCCACACACACACCGAAGAAACCCCTGGCACTCTGGGGGAGCTTGAGGACAAGCCAGGTGACACCGTCACCCCCTGAGAGCCCCGCTCTGACAGCTCGCCTTCTCCTGTGCCTGCCTCACAGGCAGTCTGCACATTGGTGCAGCCAAGGGTTGACACACCCAGCCGACATTTGCTCCTGCAACGCTGTCCCCGTGGGATTTCCTGCTGTTGTCACCGCACCCCGCTACCCAAGATACCTTGACACCCTTCTCTGCCTGAGCCATGAGGACAGTTTGTCTCCATAGCCACCCTCCAGCTCAGATGGACTGGAATTGCCTTAACGGTTTTGCCAAAAACCCGGAGAAATATCAAAATCCTTTTTTTTTAATGTCTTTGAAATTTAAAAGCATTTTGAATCGTCAATGCTTACAAGTGATAGGTTTCTCCCAAGCAAGTACCAACCAGGCCCCTACCCTGCTTGGCTTCTGAGATCAGGTATATTCAGGGTTATAGGACCATAGACTCGAGCCATAGGTTTCTGGCCCTAAACCAAAGGAAGATCACTTCCAGGCCTCAGC